GGGCCAAGAGCCAACTTTTGGTCCATCCTGTTAAGACGGTTTTGAGAGGTCTGCCAATGCTATATGTTAGCATTGGCTAATTCTACTTCTGGGTTCACCCCCATCGGCCCGGAGTGGTATTGCAAGTATGTCAGCGCACGTCATTTTGGCCACTTTTGAGCCGGGACCCGCCCCCACCGCTAAAGACCCGCCACAGTGACTAAAATATACACTATATAAATATTCAGGCTGAATTTTGATGATTGTTCCTAACTTGACCTGCCCTGGGTTATTAGACCCTAATTCACTGTAGTGGGGTATATTCTCCTTCAATATTAATGAATGAAGAATAATCTGTGGCTTTATTTTATTTGTCAGATAGATTTGGATCAAAGTTTGTCCATGAGTTTAAAGGTGCTGTTGGGCACCGTGACCAGTGAAAAGCGAAAGAAAATGTGGCAGCAAATTCATCCTTATTGTTTCAATCCGACTAAAGACAGAGGTATTTGTCATCTTTCTATATTGTTTTTTAACTGAGTCAAAAGTTCACTCCTGAAGCCTCTTTTGTCAATCATCATTCCTTCTGATTTGCCTGTGTTTACCTTGTGGTCACATGTCACTACAGTGCATTTGGGAGGAATAGATGGATTTGTATCCAGTCCACCTTCAAACTCCTTCTCTGCGTCCAACACAAGTATTGAAAGATGGATGTTCAGAAATCTCCAATATAATCTGAGCTTTGTCTGATTTAGGGGACATATCATGAAAAATCCACTTTTTGTGCCTTAAATGCCTTATCTTGTGAAGTTGGAGCCTCTAGAAGAGCAAAAAAGTTGAAATCAGTCTCTTCATGGGTTGCAGAGAACACTTCATATTCTGTTTAGGTAAGATTTTTCAACCCGTTCTGATTTTGCCATTCTCTATTACGTGTTTATAATTATTACGTCACAGTATTTGCAGCGAGACTGCTATATAAGGGCATGGGCGTCTAACAAAACACTTCGGCCCAGCCCTCTTCTACTGTGTGTCACTTTGAATTTGTAGTCCAAGCTCAAGGATGCCAGCGTACAGGGCTGGACTGGCCATCGGGCGTACCGGGCAATGCCCAAAGGGGCGATGCCCATATTTGGGCCGGTCTGTCTGCCTCATACAAAACACTTATTTTTTATTTTTTTCCCCTGTTGCCGTGGCGAGGACAAACACGCCCCATTCATTGCAAATGTACACCTCACACAAACATCAAACCAGCCTCAACCGTTTCACCGATTCGCCTCAAAATCGCTCCACATCCTCTCAATACATGTACCATAAAAATGACTTCAGGGAATTTTGATCAGTGAAACATTGTTTGAGCAGCGGAGCGCCAAAAAGTGGCATATTTTTTTTTCAGTTTTTGACAATAGAAAAATTGCTTCCGTTTGCACAAACAAAGTCTGATTTGCACAAAACTTGAATCCATGGTTCAACTCTTGCGTCTAGGTCATTTGAAAGTTAAAATTTTGAAATTGGCTCTATGGCGCCACCTAAAACAGCCAATTTAAAAAAGCCTAGGGGAGGGGTTCGTGGTCAAAATTGTCGTAGAAACATGTAATTTGGTACACATGTTCCTCAAGTCAAGACATGGAATTTTTTTTATTATGGCTAAGCCCTCTGACAAACAGGAAGCCCATAAATTTCATTGCAAAATGGAAAAATGAAAACCAATCATTTTCATACACGTCGGTTGGAAAGCGACTCCTCCTCGGCCGTTTCACCGATTGGCATCAAAATTGTTCCAAATCATCTCAACACATTTACCTTCAAAATGACCTCAGGGAATTTTGATCAGTGAAACGTTGTTTGAGCAGCGGAGCGGCAAAATGTGAGGGTTTTTTGGCCGTTTTTGACAACATAAATTTTTTTCCCGTTTGCACAAACAAAGTCTGATTTTCATTAAACTTGAATCCATTGTTCAACTCCAGGGTTTAGGTCAGGTGAAAGTGAAATATTTGAAATTGGACCATTAGCGCCCCCTACAGACTGAGTCAAAATTTACATGGGGAGCTCAGCTCTACTTATCATATTCATTACAATTTGACTAACAATCTTCTATGGCTACGGGAACAAATCATCACATGGCGGCACCACGTCCTTTGAGCGGTGCTGCGTGGTACGGTGTGGTGCCGGCGTAGTGCGGGGCGTTGTGGAGCGGCGCGTTGCGGCTTGGTGCGGGGCGGCGTGATACCAGACGGCGTGGTGCAGGGCGGCTGGGTGGCTTGGCACGGGGTGGTGCGCGCAGTGCGGGGAGTCGCGCGGTGCGGCGAGGGCCGTTTGACGCTGCTTGCGGCTTTAATTTTATTGTTGAAACTGCACATATCCTGATCCTCTACAGTATTTGCTTCCACATACTGTATAAACAAGGAGTCGGCAACCTGCGGCTCCGGAGGCGCATGAGTCTCTTTCCTTCTGTAGAAGGAAAAACGTTCTTAACGTTTTTAAATGCTGTAAAATTGTGCATAAGTAATATTCAATTTAAACATTTCTGTCAACGTAGTGCGTCATATCCTGCGACGTAGGCCCGCGCCAGGCGGCCGCTGTTGTAAACAAACCGGCGTGTGAGCCTCATAGACTGTGCGCATGGATCCCAAAGCTAAAAAGAGAAGAGTCGATAATAAGACTGGACTAAGAATCAAAATTAACATTTGCTTTCAGTCAATGAGGAAGGCCTGCTTCATGTTTGCGATGTAATGAGAAGTTTCTATGAGATAATTGTATCTGTGCTTAAAAACTACAAAAATGAACGCTTGGGGTGGAGTTGAACCTGTGTCACCTGGATGGGGGCGTGGTCAAAAGCGCCTCATTTGCATTTAAAGAGCACCAAAACAGGTTGCTCTCAGACGCACCTCAGAACAGGTGTAGAAGAAAGGCCCGTGGAGCTACAAATAATGAGACTCAGACCCAGGCATTGCAGTTACGCTTTATATAGGCCACAATTTAATGATTTAGATGTAAAAATCAATTATTTGAAAACACGATATGTCCACTTTAAACCCTTTTTGGTCTGGACTCATTCATTTCCCAAAGTGTGTTAGATCCTCTTGGTTAATATCAATGTCTTTGATTCTTGAGTCGTAGTAATAATACATTATTGTCCAATTTTTTTTATACATTTGTTCTAATTCTATAATGCTACCTTTTTTGCTAAACTTTGTTTCTTGACAAACCGCTCACTGCGTCGGCCTCTTCTGGAGGTCAGGCCCAGGTCCATGAAGCAGATGGACGTGGAACATGGATCTGCAGCTTTCAATCTGTATCATCTCGAGGAAAGTGCAAGATGTTTTAATGAGTATATCCTCTTTCCTCTTTGACTTGGTAGAGATTGTGACTTATTAACGTGGCTTCTCTTCGTAGCAGTGGCAGAGCAGGCTCTCGGTGCGTTAGAACTTTTTTCCTCTTGCACTTTTGCCCTCAGCTTCCTCTGCCGAGACTGTGTTCAGTGAGACCTTTGTCTCTGTGAAAGAACTTTCTTGTCTCAAATGTTTTTGTGAAGGATCTCTGCCATGTTCATGTCTCTGGTGCTGATGCTAATGATACTAATGCTAGCTTCTCTGTTCCCAGCTCAGGGCACTCAGTCCTGTCTTTGGTTAGTTGCTGTTTTGCAATGTTTCTCGTTGTGATCATATTTCCTATTCTCTTAAAAGATAGGGGAATAGTTAATTTGAAGAAAATGGGAGCCGAAATCTCTTGCATTCTTTTCAGAACATTGTAAATTCTAAATCCTACTTGGTGAGAGGAGCTGAGGCAGGTCTGAGAGTCCCAGGTTTTTACTGAACATAAAGATACAAAAACCCTTTGAATATTTATCCTTTTATTCACTCATAACATTTAAAAAATAAAAATCCACAAACTCTCATTCCACTCTCTGTTTGTCGTCCAACCGCGTTCATCATTTAGATCCTGAATGTTTGTCATCGGTCCAAACAGACAGTGAGTGAAAGTCTGACCTGAAATGTGTTGAACAAACCATGACTTACTTTGGTCATTTCCTGAATCTGTCTCTGTGCAGCTCTGGACCAACCAGTACCAGGTCCTTCTTTAGTCCCTCTTGGTCCTGGTTCTACCCAGGTCGAGCTGGTACTAAATTGTTCTAATGGAAGAGCACCAGAGAGTGCTAATGGAAGCCATGGTTACCAAGGAATTTCCCTAGATTCTGTGTGATACTCAGATACTTACATTACACTATATAATGCATCAGTTTTATACAGCGCTTTTCAGGACACGCAAACACTCTCATGTCAATATTCTCTCACTTCATACACGGTGGTGATAAACTACTACTGTAGCCACAGCTGCCCTGGGGCACACTGACAGAAGCGAGGCAACCAGTCTGTGCCATCGACCCCTCCGACCACCACAACCATTCACACACCAGACTCATTCTAATGTGGTAGAAGTGTCTTGCCTAAGGACACAACCACAGTTTGGCACTTTACAGCCACAGCTGCCCCACTGTGGCACCTGGGGTTCCCAGAGGTCTCCCATCACAGTACCATGTTATGGGTACAACTGAGGGATTTTATATTTGTATCTTTCTTTTTAATGTATTGTGATCATTTATGATTTTAATGCTATCTTGTTTTGTTCAGCACTTTGAGTTGCCTTGTGTATGAATTGTGCTATACTAATAAACTTGCCTTGCCTTGCTTAGCTTTAGAGTTCTAGAGGATCTGGCTTTCACCTGCAGGTGTTCCCGCAACGTGGAACTAATAAAGGTTCTTAATGTATTTTATTTGTTCCGAGTCATTTGACCAGAGCTGGAGTGACCTGATGATGATGATGATCGGTCTCTCTCTCTCTCTCTCTCTCTGGTTTCTCTCCCTCTGATGATGATGATGACGATGATGGACACAGTGCTAAGGTCATGTGATCATTCTGCAGTGGGCGTGGCACTTTGAGGCTGGTTGAGTCTGTGTCTCAGGTCTCCCTCTCTTTCTCTCAGGTTTCTCTCTCTCTGGTCTCTCTCTCTCCGGGTTGAGTCTGTGTCAGGATTCCCAGAGGAAGGAGTTGTTGTGTAAAACGTTGGCCAGTCTTTGGTTGAAAGGGCGGTAGAAGCTCCGGAGCAGGTCTCTGGTGCGACGCAACATTGGGCCCAGGGTCCTGTCCGCCGCACGCCGAGTGTTGGAGGCAGGGATTCGGGTGATGTTCGACTCCAGCTGCTCAGACAGAGGACCTGGACACACAATAAGTTATGAAGATGTGAGACCAGAGAGAGAGCGGAGAGAGAGAAACCAGTGAGAGAGAGAGACACACCGGAGAGAGAGAGAGAGAGACCATGGAGAGAGAGAGAGAGAGAGAGACCACTGAGAGCAGCTGTGGTCTCTGGTCTCCATGAAGCAGAAGCAGAGACCACAGAGATTGGAGCGAGAGAGAGAGAGAGAGACGAAAGAGAGAGAGATACTGGAGAGAGAAAGACCACAGAGAGAGAGAGACAACCAAGACCGGAGAGAGAGAGAGGGAGACCACAGAGAGAAAGCCAAAAAAGAGAGACCACAGAGAGAGAGAGAGAGAGACTGGAGAGAGACCAGAGAGAGAGAGAGAGAGAGGCTTTAGTATTAACCGAGACTGAGGAAGCTGAAGACCCGGTCCATGGTCTCTCTGGTGTGGTGGGCGTGGTCTTCCAGCCTCAGCACCAGAATCTGCTCTGGACCGAACACAGAGAGCCAGTCCAGCAGGAAGACTATGTACAGACCAATGTGGAGGCGCACCTGCAGCAGAGACCAGGGTTAGGGAGCTACTGCTACTGCTACTGCTGCTGCTGCTGCTACTGCTGCTACTGCTGCTACTGCTACTGCTACTGCTGCTGCTGCTAAACACAGAGAGCTAGTCCAGGAAAACTATTCAGGAAAACCAGGACCTTTTTGCTATGGAGTACGAACGCTAAATGCTGCGTCACGGTGCTATTACTAAAGCTTTATTCTAATGCTGTAGTAGCAGTAGCATTAGCATTAGTAGCAGTAACAGCAGTAGCATTAGCAGTAGCAGTAGCATTAGCATTAGTAGCAGTAACAGCAGTAGCATTAGCAGTAGCAGTAGCATTAGCATTAGTAGCAGTAACAGCATTAGCATTAGCAGTAGCATTAGCACTAGTAGCAGTAGCATTAGCAGTAGCAGTAGCATTACAATTAGTAGCAGTAACAGCAGTAGCATTAGCAGTAGCAGTAGCATTAGCGTAACAGCAGTAGCATTAGCAGTAGCAGTAGCATTAGCATTAGTAGCAGTAACAGCAGTAGCATTAGCAGTAGCATTAGCACTAGTAGCAGTAGCATTAGCAGTAGCAGTAGCATTACAATTAGTAGCAGTAACAGCAGTAGCATTAGCAGTAGCAGTAGCATTAGCATTAGTAGCAGTAACATCAGTAGCATTAGCAGTAGCAGTAGCATTAGCAGTAGCAGTAGCATTAGCATTAGTAGCAGCAGTAGCAGTAGCATTAGCATTAGTAGCAGTAACAGCAGTAGCAGTAGCATTAGTAGCAGTAACAGCAGTAGCATTAGCATTAGTAGCATTAACAGCATTAGCATTAGCATTACTCACTGGCATGGCTTGGTTGACAGTGGAGTTGTAAACACACGAGTGGATGCCGGAGTCCGACACACAACTCTGAAATAGCAGCAGTGACTCTGACACTTTGTCGTGGAAATCTTCGGCTGATTTGTTGGAGATTCCGAAGTAAAGATAGTCCGAGTAAAGTCTGAGGACACACCACGAAGTTAGATCAAGAGTTCAAAATGTGTAACAATCACTAAATTTGTCTTAGACTGGATAAAGGCCAGTGTGGGGCCAGTGTCTCCAAGTTCAATTTAATGTGGACCAGGAGACACTGGTCAATGTCTAGTCTCTCTCTCTGGTCTCTCTCTCTGGTCTCTCTCTCTGGTCTCTCTCTCTGGTCTCTCTCTCTGGTCTCTCTCTCTGGTCTCTCTCTCTGGTCTCTCTCTCTGGTCTCCCTCTCTGGTCTCCCTCTCTGGTCTCCCTCTCTGGTCTCTCTCTCTGGTCTCCCTCTCTGGTCTCTCTCTCTGGTCTCCCTCTCTGGTCTCCCTCTCTGGTCTCTCTCTCTGGTCTCTCTCTCTGGTCTCTCTCTCTGGTCTCTCTCTCTGGTCTCCCTCTCTGGTCTCCCTCTCTGGTCTCCCTCTCTGGTCTCCCTCTCTGGTCTCCCTCTCTGGTCTCTCCTTGTCTGGTCGTTCTGCTCTCTCTCTGGTCTCTCTCTGGTCTCTCTCTGGTCTCTCTCTGGTCTCTCTCTGGTCTCTCTCTGGTCTCTCTGTCTGGTCGCTCTACGCTCTCTGATCTCTTTCTCTGGTCTCTCTCTAGGCTCACTCTGGTCTCTCCCCGCTCTCTCTCTCTGGTCCCTCTCTAGGCTCACTCTGGTCTCTCTCCGCTCTCTCTCTGTGGTCCCTCTCCCTGGTCTCTCCCTGGTCCCACCTCTCCACTGGGTCCCTGAACATGGCGATGACTCGTGCTTTTGGCTGCAGGGCGTGCACAAAGTCCTGGACGAGGATCGGAGGTTCACCGTCTGTGACGTTGTCGTAGACCGAGACCCAGGCGTTATTATCCCACATGGTGGAGGCACTGGCCTCTCCTGCAAACATCAATGTTGAGGTCCTGCTTTAGACTTGTTCTCGCACAGTCCTGCCTCAGTCCTGGTCCAGTCCAGTTCCAGTCTTGGTCTAGTCCTGCCTCAGTCCTGGTCCAGTCCAGTTCCAGTCCAGTCTCTGCCTCAGTCCCAGTACAGTCCTGTCTTGGTCCTGGTCCAGTCCTGGTCCAGTCCTTTCACCAATGATGATATCTCTCCCGGTGGCTCCAGCCTCAGTCCAGTTCTGGTCTTGGATCTGGTGAGCCGCCTGGTCCAACAGGTCCAGATAGTCCTCCACAGGGAACCGGTCTCGGCGCTCGCTCAGACGGATCAGACCTGAACCAAGCATTTCACACTTTAGATGTGTGCTCTGTGCAGGGACTAAAGCAGGACCAAAGAAAGACTAAAGCAGGACTAAAGCAGGACTAAAACAGGACTAAAACAGGACTAAAGCAGGTCCAAAGCAGGATTAAAGCAGGATTAAAGCACTGAAGTGGATTTCCACCAGGGCCTTTCTAATGGAACAAATTAGTTTTAAACAGAAGTGTGATAAATCTACAGATGCTATTATTGGAGATGTAATGTCTCCTCTTCGCCACACGAGGGCGCCATTGGATTATATCAATGCTGGAGATCTAAACACAGAACAGGGCTAAAGCTGAGGTATGTAACTTTCAAACCACAACAATCGACCTGGTTTAGACCTGGCTTAGACCTGGTTTGGTACTGATTTAGACCTGGTTCAGACCTGGTTTGGGTCTATAAAAGCTTAGGGTTTTAGAAAAGTGAAACCAGACGACCAGTCGGAGCCAATCAGAGCCCACAGGGTCAGAAAGTGCCTCTTGGGGCTCTTTCTTAGAGATGTTTCTAATGAGATGAAGAACTTTGTGTTTCGTGCAGAAACTTGTGATCGTTTCATCTGAAGATAAAGCTCCACTTCCTGTTTTTAGTTCATAATGTTCCATTACATCAGCAAAACAGGTCTGAACCAGGTCTGAACCAGGTCTAACCCAGGTCTAAAGCAGTTCTAAACCAGGTCTGAACCAGGTCTAAAACAGGTCTGAACCCAGACTGAACCAGGTCTAAAGCAGGTCTAAAGCAGGTCTGGACCCGTTCTCTTGACACTTGTTTATTCTGTGCTGGTGGTGGGTGTCTTTCTCTCTCCCTATTGTTTGCTGTTCTGTCGCTCGCCCCATGCTCTGATCAATATCCTGTTTTGTGTTCTTCCCTTTAAACGAGGGAGTCCTTCACCAGCGCCACAGTAACAAGCCCCCAGAGCATTGTGGGTAAAGGATCTGATCTGACATCTATCCTCCTCAAAAACTTACACCTGGTTTAGATCTGGTTTATTAAATCTGGGGTCCCTGACTTTCACACACTGAAGTAGAACTCCTCCTCGGTCTTCAACAGTTTTGCTTCTGTCCCATCTTTAGATCAGATTTTTCAGACAAAGAGTCAAAAACGCAAAAAAGAGAGACCAGAGAGAGGGACCAGAGAGAGACCAGAGAGAGACCAGAGAGAGAGAGAGACCAGTGAGAGAGACCAGAGACGGACGAGAGAGACCAGTGAGAGAGACCAGAGAGGGACGAGAGAGACCAGAGAGAGACCAGTGAGAGAGACCAGAGAGGGACCAGAAAGAGAGCACAGAGAGAGAGACCAGTGAGAGAGACCAGTGAGAGAGAACCAGAGAGGGGCTAGAAAGAGAGCACAGAGAGAGAGACCAGTGAGAGTGACCAGTGAGAGAGAACCAGAGAGAGACCAGAGACCAGAGAGAGACCAGAGCATCTCCACTCACCAAACCTCTTGCGTGTCCACCAGTGCGGCTCCTTGAAGGTGGTGAACTGCACCTGTGGGTGGAGCCGCAGTCGGTCGTACAGGTCTGTGGTGCCGCACTTGGGCTGACCGATGATGTAGAAGTACGGCAGGCAGCGCAGTCGCAGCCGCCTCCCCTGGTCTCGCACCAGGTGGTCCCTGAACGAGGCGCGCAGTTGCTGAAAGGCGGACCGGAAGCGGCGCGAGTACCGACTGTACAGATTGCTATGATATGGGTCGTCGACGCTGCTGTTCCCACGGTAATCCTGGAACCAGCAAGGGTTTTTCAGACCAGGAAGGAACCGGCGAGGGACCACAGAGAACAGCTGAAAAAGAAATTATGTACCTGGTTATAACAGAGAGAGACCAGAGAGACAAGGGAGACCAGAGAGACCAGAGAGGGACCAAAGAGACCAGAGAGTCCAGAGTGACCAGGGAGAGACCAGAGAGAGACCGGAAAGAGACCACTCTGTCCTCTCCTCAGACTCACATGTGGTTCTTTGTCCATGAGTTCTCTGAGGTTGGGTTTCCTCCTGTTGCTGCTGAAGTCCACTCTCTCCTCTATGGCTTTCACCACCAGCTTCATCTGCTTGTAGTCCCTCACCGTAGCGCTCGCCGCCGCGCTCGCCACGTTCCCGAAGCGACACGGCGCCAGCATCAGCCCGCTCCGGTCGCTCGCCAACACGTAGGAGGCAGCGATCAGGAACACCAGCGCCAGACCGAACAGGAGGCTGTAGACCCGGGTCTGCCTGAACCCGAGGCCCCCCCACCGCCGCCGGGGAGCCTCACGCCGCACCTACGATAGATACACTTTATTGATCTCACAGGGAAGTCATCTTTATTTATATAGCACATGTTTACAGACAAAGGTCACTCAAATCACTCTACAATGTGACGGAAGCAAAAGCCTCCGACCAAACACCCTCCACTCACTCACTCGTTACATTCAGATTGCTCATGTCTTTAGTGGCAGGGGAAACCGGAGCACCTGGAGGGAAACTACACAGACGCAGGGAAAAAGACCATGTTACGACGGGGATTCGAACCCAGGACCTTCTTACGGTGGTGGTTAGCAAGAGTACTAACCACCACTGTCGCTCAGAGAGAAACAAGAGAGAGAGACGAGAGAGAGTCCAGAGACCAGAGAGAGAGACCAGAGAGAGGGACCTGAAAGAAAAACCAGAAAGAGAGACCAGAGAGAAAGACCTGAGAGAGACCAGAGAGAGGCTAGAGACAGACCAGAGAGAGAGACCAGACAGAGAGAAAGACCTGAGAGAGAGACCAGAGAGACAGACCTGAGAGAGAGACCAGAGAGAGACCAGAGAGAGGCTAGAGACAGACCAGAGAGAGAGACCAGACAGAGAGAAAGACCTGAGAGAGAGACCAGAGAGACAGACCTGAGAGAGAGACCAGTGAGGGATCAGAGAGAGACCAAAACTTTATTAGGGGACCAGAGAGAGACCAGGGGGAGACCAAAGCGTGAGAAAGTCAAAAGGAGAGTCACCTCCAGGACGGCGAACAGACTCATGAGAGTGCTGTCCACCTGCAGCAGCAGCGGACGCTTCCGGAACTCCTCGGCGTCCACCGGGGGTCCCAGCAGGCGGTACTTATAGTCCGGGTCGCCCATGGTGTGGAGGAGGCTAGAGCTGGAGCCAGAGCTGAGGCTGGAGTGGACCAGGCTGAGTGTCCAGAGAGGAGGTGGAGGAGGAGGTGGAGGGAGGCGGGCGGCACATTTCCGAGCGCTCACAAGTCTGAAGAGATTGTTAGAAGTTTGTGAGTCATTTTGCTGATGGAGAAGTGATGAAAAGGAAGCAGAAGTGAGAAAATGGTCAAAAAGCGTGATTTATAGTGACAATAAATGACGATAAATGACCAGAACTGCAACAATAACAGTTTAGATTAAAGGAGACGTGTAACTTCGGACTCATGCACCGTGTCTTTCTGATGTTCGAGCAGAGAGAGAGACTAGAGGGAGATGAGAGGGCAGAGCGAGAGACCAAAGAGAGAGACTAGTGAGAGAAACCAGCAGGGGAGACCAGAGGGAGACTAGAGGGCAGAGAGAGAGACTAGAGAGAGGGACAAAAAAGAAACTAGTGAGAGAGACCAGTGAGAGACCAGAGAGAAAGAGAGAGAGAGAGACTTGTGAGAAAGACCAGAGAGAGAGAGGCCAGAGATAAATAAATCAGCTTGAGTAATTTCTCTGGTGAAACTACTCTTTACAACCCCAGGTCTGTGTTTGAAGCTCCCTCTGGTGGCAGCTCAGAGAATTACAGGCAGAAAGTATTATTTACCCTTCACACAAATATTAGATCTATTTGTTGAAGACTATGTGAGAGTGTAATCTATCTCTGGTGTACCATGTGTGTGTTTACTCCTAGTGTCCTGTGATGTCACCAATAAGTGGAATGTTACAAACGTATGAGTCATTCCTGGTCTCAGCTCAACGTCTGATCAGAAATCTACAAACCAAAAGAAACGGATGTGATGACGTCATGAGCGGTTTTTAACAAGAGGAAGCAGTTCTGCATGATACAGGCCTGCATCAGAGAGAGGAACCAGAGAGAGAGAGAGAGAGACCAGAGAGAGACCAGAGAGAGACCAGAGAGAGAGAGAGAGAGAGAGAGAAAGAGACCAGAGAGAGAGAGAGAGACCAGAGAGAGAGAGACCAGAGAGAGAGAGAGAGAGAGAGAGACCAGAGAGAGACCAGAGAGAGAGAGAGAGAGAGACCAGAGAGAGAGACCAGAGAGAGAGAGAGAGAGACCAGAGAGAGACCAGAGAGAGAGAGAGAGAGAGAGAGAGAGACCAGAGAGAGAGAGAGAAGAGACCAGAGAGAGAGAGAGACCAGAGAGAGAGAGAGAGAGAGAGAGAGAGAAGAGACCAGAGAGAGAGAGAAAGAGACCAGAGAGAGAGAGAGAGAGAGAGAGAGAGAGACCAGAGAGAGAGAGAGAGACAGAGAGAGAGAGACAGAGAGACCAGAGAGAGAGAGAGAGAGACCAGAGAGAGACCAGAGAGAGAGAGAGAGAGAGAGAGACCAGAGAGAGAGAGAGAAGAGACCAGAGAGAGAGAGAGAGAGAGAGAGAGAGAGAGAGAGACCAGAGAGAGAGAGAGACCAGAGAGAGAGACCAGAGAGAGAGACCAGAGAGAGACCAGAGAGACCAGAGAGAGAGAGAGAGAGAGAGACAGAGAGAGAGACCAGAGAGAGAGAGAAAGAGACCAGAGAGAGAGAGACCAGAGAGAGAGAGAGAGAGACCAGAGAGAGACCAGAGAGAGATCAGAGAGAGAGACCAGAGAGAGAGAGAAAGAGACCAGAGAGAGAGAGAAAGAGACCAGAGAGAGAGAGAAAGAGACCAGAGAGAGAAAGAAAGAGACCAGAGAGAGAGAGAAAGAGACGAGAGAGAGAGAAAGAGACCAGAGAGAGAGAGAAAGAGACCAGAGAGAGAGAGAGACCAGAGAGAGAGAGAAGAGACCAGAGAGAGAGAGAGACCAGAGAGAGAGAGAGAGACCAGAGAGAGAGAAAGAGACCAGAGAGAGAGAGAGAGACCAGAGAGAGAGAAAGAGACCAGAGAGAGAGAGAGAGAGCAGAGAGAGAGAAAGAGACCAGAGAGAGAGAAAGAGACCAGAGAGAGAAAGATGACGTCAGGAGCGGTTTTTAACAAGAGGAACCAGTTCTGCATGACACAGGCCTGCATCAGAGAGAGAGAGACCAGAGAGAGAGAGAGAGAGAGACCAGAGAGAGACCAGAGAGAGACCAGAGAGAGAGAGACCAGAGAGAGAGAGAGACCAGAGAGAGATCAGAGAGAGAGACCAGAGAGAGAGAGAAAGAGACCAGAGAGAGAGAGAAAGAGACCAGAGAGAGAGAGAGAGAGACCAGAGAGAGACCAGAGAGAGAGAGACCAGAGAGAGAGAGAGAGAGACCAGAGAGAGACCAGAGAGAGACCAGAGAGAGATCAGAGAGAGAGACCAGAGAGAGAGAGAAAGAGACCAGAGAGAGAGAGAAAGAGACCAGAGAGAGAAAGAAAGAGACCAGAGAGAGAGAGAAAGAGACGAGAGAGAGAGAAAGAGACCAGAGAGAGAGAGAAAGAGACCAGAGAGAGAGAGAGAGACCAGAGAGAGAGAGAGAGACCAGAGAGAGAGAGAGAGAGACCAGAGAGAGAGAGAGAGACCAGAGAGAGAGAGAGACCAGAGAGAGAGAAAGAGACCAGAGAGAGAGAAAGAGACCAGAGAGAGACCAGAGAGAGAGAGAGACCAGAGAGAGAGAAAGAGACCAGAGAGAGAGAGAAAGAGACCAGAGAGAGAGAGAGAGACCAGAGAGAGACCAGAGAGAGAAAGAGACCAGAGAGAGAGAGAGACCAGAGAGAGAGAGCGAGAGACCAGAGAGAGACCAGAGAGAGAGAGAGAGACCAGAGAGAGACCAGAGAGAGAGAGAGAGACCAGAGAGAGACCATGCAGAAACCATAGGAGGGGTTTAGCACCTTCTGAAAAATAGAAACAGATCGTTGCACTGAACCTGCACGAGTTCTCGAACATGAACTACATTCGTTTTACGCTCCTGACAAGATAAAACACACGTTCTAAATCCAGATATGACATTTACAGCCCACACAAACACACAAACAGACACACAGACACACACACAACCACACGCACACAACCACACACACGCACCATCCTCTGCACTTCTGCGTCAAGATAAGAAATGTTCCTTCCAACTCCCCCGCTTCACAAATGGTGTCTGTGTGTGTGTGTCTGTGTGTGTGTTTGTGTGTGTGTGTGTGTGTGTGTGTGTGTGTTGTGTGTTTGTGTGTTTGCACAGATAGAAGCGATAAAGACATCAACCGTCACCTGCAGCTGAGATCAAGGTCTGTACTATAAAGATGAAACTCCAACAGAATTGTTTTTTTTTTTCTTCTCTGGTATCTCTCTCTCTCTGGTCTCTTTCTGGTCTCTCTTTGGTCTCTCTCTAGTCTCTTTCTGGTCTCTCTCTGGTCTCTCTTTGGTCTCTCTTTGGTCTCTCTCTGGTCTCTCTCTAGTCTCTTTCTGGTCTCTCTTTGGTCTCTCTCTAGTCTCTTTCTGGTCTCTCTTTGGTCTCTCTCTAGTCTCTTTCTGGTCTCTCTCTCTCTTTCTGGTCTCTCTTTGGTCTCTCTCTAGTCTCTTTCTGGTCTCTCTCTGGTCTCTCTTTGGTCTCTCTCTGGTCTCTCTCTAGTCTCTTTCTGGTCTCTCTTTGGTCTCTCTCTAGTCTCTTTCTGGTCTCTCTTTGGTCTCTCTCTGGTCTCTTTCTGGTCTCTCTTTGGTCTGTCTCTGGTCTCTCTCTCGTCTCTCTCTGGTCTCTCTCTCTGGTCTCTCTCTCTGGTCTCTCTCTGGTCTCTCTCTGGTCTCTAGTCTCTTTCTGGTCTCTCTCTGGTCTCTCTCTGGTCTCTCTCTCTGGTCTCTCTCTCTCTCTGGTCTCTCTCTAGTATCTCTCTGGTCTCTCTCTGGTCTCTCTCTGGTCTCTCTCTGGTCTCTTTCTGGTCTCTCTTTGGTCTCTCTCTGGTCTCTCTCTGGTCTCTCTCTGGTCTCTCTCTGGTCTCTCTCTGGTCTCTCTCTGGTCTCTCTCTGGTCTCTCTCTGGTCTCTCTCTGGTCTCTCTCTAGTCTCTTTCAGGTCTCTCTCTGGTCTCTCTTTGGTCTCTCTCTGGTCTCTCTCTGGTCTCTCTCTGGTCTCTCTCTGGTCTCTCTCTGGTCTCTCTCTGGTCTCTCTCTGGTCTCTCTTTGGTCTCTCGCTGGTCTCTCTCTGGTCTCTCTCGGCTGGTTTAAAGTATGACATTATATCAAACAATAAATGGTTAGAACCGAGTGAAAAAATGAAATCCTGAATCTGTAAAGTTGTATTTACACACGTTTGCGTCACCTGCGTTACCACGGAAACCGCTCCCATTTTAACAGGACTAAAGCGAGTGACCTTCAGCTCCAGGGACGAGCTACAGACACAGACCGGAGAGGTGTTTGGACCCATCCATGCTGAAACCAGGAGCACACACATGTAGCTCCGCCCCTTCTGTCTGAAAGCTCCTGTCTCAGTCCTGTAGTGTCCCAGAGAGAGACCAGAGAGAGACCAGAGAGAGACCAGAGAGAGAGACCAGAGAGAGACCAGAGAGAGACCACAGAGACCAGAGAGAGAGACCAGAGAGAGAGAGAGAGACCACAGAGACCAGAGAGAGAGACCAGAGAGAGACCAGAGAGAGAGAGACCAGAGAGAGACCACAGAGAGAGAGAGAGAGACCACAGAGACCAGAGAGAGAGACCAGAGAGAGACCAGAGAGAGAGACCAGAGAGAGACCAGAGAGAGAGACCAGAGAGAGACCACAGAGACCAGAGAGAGAGACCAGAGAGAGACCAGAGAGAGACCAGAGAGAGACCAGAGAGAGAGACCAGAGAGAGACCAGAGAGAGACCAGAGAGAGAGACCAGAGAGACCAGAGAGAGAGAGTGACCACAGAGACCAGAGAGACTAGAAATAGAGAGAGACCAGAGAGAGACCAGAAAGAGACCTGAGAGACTAGAGAGGGACCAGAGAGAGACCAGAGATACCACAAATACTTGAGAGAGACCAGAGAGATCTGAGAGAGAGACCTGAGAGACCAGAGAGACCTA